TAGCACGTGGTCTGGGCACAGTGAAGGTTCTGTAGCTCTATGCACAGTAGTTGTTCGTATCATGAGCCTAGTTTACAGAGTAGGAAACTGAGGCATGGAGAGCCAGAGCCTGGTCCAGGCCCCTCAGGCAGGAAGAGGGTCCAAACTTGCTAGTCTGATGTCCAGGGCGATCCTGGCAGTGACCCTCACCAGGCCGTCTCTAACCCCGCAGCCCCTGATCAGCCGGAACTATAAGGGCGATGTGGCCATGAGCGAGATTGAGCATTTCATGCCGCTGCTCATGCAGCGGGAGGAGGAGGGGGCGCTGGCCCCACTACTGAGCCACGGCAGGGTGCACTTCCTGTGGATCAAGCACAGCAACCTCTACTGTACCCGCCCGGTGGGGGGGTGTCCCTGAGGTCGGAGGTGGTGGGCTCTGCCCAAAGAGGGTGCACTGAACACCGGAAGCACCTCTATGCCTCAGGCTGGGGAGGGGGCGGTGGGCAGAGGCAAAAGGTGATGGCAGAGGATGGGGAGGGGGTTCAGGGTCTGTGCACCTTTTCCTTGACTTCATTGCCCACAGTGGTGGCCACCACGCTGAAGAACTCCAACGCCTCCCTGGTATACTCCTTCCTCTACAAGACGGTGGAGGTACGTGCGGGCCTCATATTGGCTGGTCAGTCTGTCTGTTGGCCTGCCCTGCCCAGCTCTTTCAGGATCCCACTTTCTGGGAAGCCTTGTCTGATCTCCCTGGGGGCACCAGCTGCCTGTGCTTCCCCCATCAAAACGCCATCACTCTGCGTTCTCATTGGCTGCTTATGGGACATCTCTCCCAGTAGGGCAGGCACCACGAGGTCTCCCAGAAGGCCTGGGCCACAGGGCATGGCTTCCATCCCAGCTCACCACTTCTTGGGTGTGTGACCTTGAACAAGTCATTTTTCTCTGGTCCTCAAAAATGGGGTGATGAAAAGTCCTGCCTCAGGGTTGTTGTGCAAATTAACCAATACCTGCAAAGTGCCTAGAACAGTCTTCAGTAGACAGTAAGTGCTCATTAAATGTTTGCTATTATTGTTAGTGTTCTCGTCTAACAAGAATGCTTTATTGAGTGCTTTCAACATGCCATCCTCAGTGACTGAGGAGGTGCTTAGGAATTATGTTTATCGATTTCCTGCCAGGCAGAGGGGCTGCAGCTCTGGAGGAGATAGGCACGGTCCTGCCCTCTTGGCTCTCTGACATTCAGCAGGGGAGTGAGACGGTCTTGCAGAGTTAAAGGACAGGAAGGAGGTTAAATAGAACATTGCCATACGATAACCAGTGCCTGGGTTGGGGTGTTATTCTCACCAGGATGTTCATGGGGAGGGTTACCCTGAGGAGCCCCCACATTCAAGCTGGGGCCTGAATGACAAGGAGCCTGCCATGAGGTGGGCTGGGGGAAGAGCATCCCAGC